AACAACAACAGCAATAACAACAATATTCACATGAAACAAAATGTTATGTTTTGTATTCCTAGAGAGTAGGCGGCCAGCCAGTCAGCCAACCAGACAAATAGATAGACAATTAACAGAAATCATCTGCATACACATACATCCACCCTCTCAAATCACCGATCCTAGAGGTATTTGTGGGAGGATGGAGTTGAGTAAAGCGGCATATTAATGAAAATTCTGTAAAAATACTTAAATTGTGCAACTGATTGTAATTTTTGCAATATTCATTCATTAATATTTATTTTTGTAAATGTTAAAAAAATGCACAAACAAACATTAAATACAAAAAAGGCTCGTGGTATAAATTACCAAGTCATTGTTGAAAATGTTTTAATTTTTTTTTTTTTTTGCAATGAAATGTTTTTTATTTTTAATTAATGAACAAAAATTGTATTTAATGGGAATTTACTGAATTTTATGGGTGCCTCTCTTTAATGAATAAAAATAAATTTTAATGGAAAATCATAAGAAAATATTTTGTAATTTTTTCTCTACTCTGGTCCCGAACAATTACCTCGCCTTTGTGATAAAATTATCCCATTTTTAATTCCCTTGACAATATCATCATCAGAGTTCATATTCAATTTCCATAGTAATGTAATAGTACTAGCAAGTGTCCGCCATTTCATTAGCGTAAGGTCCAACCAAAAATTGTCGATTCCTTCCAAGAGCTCGTGTTAGGCCTTCTTTGTACCAAAATTGCACTATTTGTCAATTTAAAAAAAAAAATAATTAAAACTTCATATTTTCTATAAAATTTCAGATTTTCAAGGTTTTATATATCATTCATGTTTTTCCTCTTTCTGAAACTAAAATAGGAAAATTTTTACCTTTTACACCAAAAAGTCTTCTAAATCCTTCATTTTGAAGTTTACCGGGGAGAAACAATTGGCCCATATCCAATGTTTTTGTCCAAAACTATTTTTAAGTCTCCAATTGTAAACCAACAGTATCCTCAATATCAATATTTCAGAATATCACGTCTTCTTCCTACTACCAAATTTAGTACGCAAATCCAAACATTCTACATCTATCCATCCCATACACCAATTCGAACAATTATTGTACACATTTTCTAAACAATCTCCGTAACTCAACCTCGGATACCAACAGTGACCTTAATATCAAATTTCGGGATTCCAGATCCCTTTATTCCACCAAGTACCCAATTAAACATCAACTAGTACTGTTCGTATAATTTTAGTTAATTTGCAAACCCGTTCCATATCTCAATCCCAGACACCAACAAAGACCTTAGTATAAAAACTCAGAACTTCAGCTCCATCCGCTCTACTGCTTCCTCAATACAAAGGCTATCATATTTTAATACTATTTGAAGTGTTCTAGTACGAAAAACCCAGCCACATCTGTTTACCTTGGACCAAGGGTGACCCTCGCCCAAAATTTCACCATCATTGGCGGTGATGATAACCAATTTTTTGTATATAAAAGGGCGGCCGATGGCAGAATCCGGACAGTGAGTGCAAGACCTTGAAGCGACAATATCAACCTTGGTATGTAAACTCACATTGCATCGAAGCCTCGGACATCCTTGTGCATTTTGAAAATATCCTTGTTCATTCTGACGATGTCCTTGAAGGATCCTGTGGGAGTCCTTAGACATCCTTTGTGAGTCCTTTTTATCATCCTTGCATATCCTTGTAGAGTTTGAGTACTTTTTAAGGTCTCCAGAAACCGTATCCTTGAATATCTTGTAGTGCTTGAGTACTTATTAAGGTCTATTGCAATCCTATCCTAGATCCTTGTAGTCTGATTGAGTACTTATTAAGGTCTCCTGCAACCGTATCCTAGATCCTTGAGGTGCTTGAGTGCTTATTAAGGTCTCTTGCAACCGTATCCTTGAATATCTTTTTATTTCTTAAATAGTTATTAAGGTCTCTTGCAATAGTATCCTTGAATATCCTGTAGTCTGTTTGAGTACTTATTAAGGTCTCTTGCAGCCGTATCCTTGAATATCTTAGTAGTTCTTGAGTACTTATTAAGGTCTCCTGCAACCATATCCTTGAGTGCTTATTAAGGTCTCCTGCTACCGTATCATTGAATATCTTGTAATGCTTGAGTACTTATTGAGGTCTCTTGCAACCGTATTCTTGAATATCCTGTAGTGCTTGAGTACTTATTAAGGTATATTGCAATCGTATCCTAGATCCTTGTAGTCTGATTGAGTACTTATTAAGGTCTCCTGCAACCATATCCTAGATCCTTGAGGTGCTCGAGTACTTATTAAGGTCTCTTGCAGCCGTATCCTTGAATATCCTGTAGTGTTTGAGTTCTTATTAGGGTCTGTTGCAACCGTATCCTAGATGCTCTTTTAACCGTATCCTTGAATATGCCGTAACCTGCTTGAGTACTTATAGAGCAGCCGTATCCTTGAATATGCCGTAACCTCCTTGAGTACTTATAGAGCAGCCGTATCCTTGAATATCCTGTAGTGCTTGAGTTCTTATTAGGGTCTGTTGCAACCGTATCCTAGATCCTTGTAGTATTGAGTACTTATTAAGATCTCTTGCAGTCCTGTCCTTAAATATCCTTGTAGAGCTTGAGTACTCATTAAGGTCTCCAGCAATCGTGTCCATGAATACCCTGTAATGCTTGAGTTCTTATTAGGGTCTGTTGCAACCATATCCTGGATCCTTGTAGTTTGATTGAGTAATTATTGAGGTCTCTTACAACCGTATCCTTGAAAATCCTGTAGTGCTTGTGTACTTATTAAGGTCTCTTGCAACCGTATCCCAGATCCTTGTAGTCTTGAGTACTTGTTAAGGTCTCTCGCAACCGTATCCTAGATCCTTGTAGTCTGATTGAGTAAGGTCTCTTGCAACCATATCCTTGAATATCCTGTAGCTTGCTTCAGCACTTATTAAGGTCTCTTGTAACCGTATCGTTGAATATCCTGTAGGGTCTGTTGCAACCGTATCCTAGATCTGAGTGCATTTTAAGGTATCCTGCAACCGTATCCTTGAATATCCAGTAGTGCTTGAGTACTTATAAAGGTCTTCTGCAATTTTATCCTTGAATATCCTGTAGCCTGCTTCAGCACTTATTAAGGTCTCTTGTGACCGTATCCTTGAATATCCTGTAACCTGCTTGAGTACTTATCCAGGTATCTAGCAATGATTTCTTCCCGAATCCTGAGCACCCAAATCCTGTGTCCTTGTCCCGTTTCTCGAGTACTTATCCAGGTCTCGTGTTGAAGAACCCCTTCCAATCCCGGACCGTAGATGATTAGGATTTTTCTTATTTACCGTACATTAAAAACGTAATATCAAACCACTGACTTTCTCTTTCTGTCTCAACAAATAACATTTCTGTACGAACCCTTGAACCCCGGTGAGCTATCCCAGCCTAAGAGGACAAATTCTGTCATTACAGAATATTCTTTTCCTTTTCCAAAAATTATAGCTACTGAAGTCCTTTTAAAATTTCTGAAGGATCTTTTGTGGATTTTTCTCATCCTTGGTAGGCAAATACATTTTCCCACCTCTCGTAAATAATTGATTTCCTCTTCCAAAAACCACTTATCTTGTTTTTCCTAATTTTTTTAACATTTCTGCTAATTCTTCCAAAATATACAAAGCTACAGCTATAAACAAATTACATTTACCTTCATTAAAATTAACAAAAAAAAAAAAAAAGAAGAGCGGTAGAAACGTTCTACAAATTAAATTGAGACTACATGAAACGAGAGCCATCCAGCGAACGAGAGAGCCCAGATCTATTTAATAAACATAACTTTGTGTATTGTTATAAACAATTTTCGTTATTAAATTACTTGCCTTGAATAACAAAATAATAATTGTTGCTATCAAAACTTTCCAATTTACTAGGAATTGAATTTCAAAGGCAAGGCCAAAAACTCGAAGAGAGAAAAAAAGAAAGATGAGAATACAACCACTTAATGTGTTACAAGAAAATCATCTTCAGGGGCTCTACTCCCCTCATACCCCATCTCTCGTCCCCAAATGATGCAGGAGGGAGAAACGTTTTCCCTATTAAATGAAATCCCACAAGACATGAGGGAACTTTTTTCTTTAAAGCAACGGAAAAGAGAAAGCATTGAACTTTCCTTTGCAGCCACGGCATTGAAAGTCATGGGAAAGTCCAGGGAGACAAAGTGAAGGAGGAGGAGGGGTTGGGGGAAATAACGACAGAATCGAGAAGTAATGAAATGTCATCATTTGTGAATTGTGTCAAATTAATTGTTGGTGGAGTTTTTTGCTGGCTCTTCTTTGGTTTATTTTCTGGGTTTGTTTGTGGATGTGTTTGTGTTGCTTAAAAGCGTGTGTGTTGGAAACTTTTATGAGCTGGAGGTTGTGGTGCTGCTGTCTGTGGGAGTGTTGCATGTAAGTTCAATTACAATTTTATTTGAGTTTCCAGCCCGCCGCCACCCTCTAAGTTCACAACCAATAAAACATGGAGATGTGCAGATACTGACATCCAGCCAGCCACCCAGTCAGCCCGCCATCCACCATCTGGTCATTAGATATTCAAAAGCACACAACAGACATTTAACGGCAATGCAAATAAATTTTCATTTAAAATAACATACACATGTATACATAACAAAAATACATGCAGAACAACAATAACAACAACATCGTTATTATCATATGCGAATAATTTGTATTCTCAGTTATGTTCGGATGAAATACAAGATTTTGTGTTTTTGCTGCATGTTTAAGGAGCATGATAATTTTATCAAAATCTCTGCATGTTGTTATTCGAGATTGTTATGGTTGTGGATTGTTACTTTCGTTTCTTGAACTTCGAGGAGATGTCAGGGGGGAAGATTGCAGAATACCCTACAATAGAGTAGAGATACACAAAGATTATCTTCTGCAGAGTAGATGGGTTCACAGGCCATCTACTATAGAGCGGATGGGCTAACAGGCCATCTACGGGACAGTAGATGGGCTCACAGGCCATCTAGGGGAGAGTAGATGGACTCAAAGTCCATCATCAAGAGGGTAGGTGGACTCACAGGCAATCTACTGTAGAGAAGATGGACTCAAAGGCAATCTACTGTAGAGTAGATGGGCTCACAGGCCATCTACGGGAGTGTAGATTCACTCACAGGCCATCTACGGGAGAGTAGATAGGCTCACTGGCCATCTACGGGAGAGTAGATGGGCTCACAGGCCATCTACTGTAGGGTAGATGGCCATCTACTGTAGCGTAGATGGGCTCACAGGCCATCTCCTGTAGAGTAGATGGACTCAGAGGCCATCTACGGGTAGTAGATGGGCTCTAAGGTAGAGTCGTTGGGCTGTAAGGCCATCTACTTTTTCTGCAGAGTAGATGGACTCCAAGGGCATCTACAGAAAACCAGGCGATTTTAAGTCATCTATTGCAGAGTAGATGAACTCCAAGGCCATCTACCATAGCATAGAAGGTCTCCAAGGCCATTTACTATAGCATAAAAGGTCTCCAAGGCCATCTTTAGGCTCCCAGGCCATCTTTAGGCTCAAAGGCCATCTACTGCATAGCCGGCCCTTCAGCTTGTCTATAACGACAAGTAGGCCCTCCAGCCTGTCTATAACTACAAGCTGGCCCTCCAGCCGGACTTCAACGACAAGCTGACCCTCCAGCCTGTCTACAACGACAAACTTGGCCTCCAGCCTAACTACAACGACAAGCTGGCCCGTCAGCTTGCCTATAACGACAAGCTGGCCCGTCAGCTTGCCTAGAACGACAAGCTGGCCCGTCAGCTTGCCTATAACGACAAGCTGGCCCGTCAGCTTGCCTATAACGACAAGCTGGCCCTCCAGCCTGCCTATAACGACAAGCTGGCCCTCCAGCCTGCCTATAACGACAAGCTGGCCCTCCAGCCTGCCTATAACGACAAGCTGGCTCTCCAGCCTGCCTATAACGACAAGCTGGCCCTCCAGCCTGTCTACAAGGACAAGCTGGCCCTCCAGCCTGTCTACAAGGACAAGGTGGCCCTCCAGCCTGTCTACAACGACAAGGTGGCCCTCCAGCCTGTCTATAACGACAAGCTGGCCCTCCAGCCTGTCTATAACGACAAGCTGGCCCTCCAGCCTGTCTATAACGACAAGCTGGCCCTCCAGCCTGTCTATAACGACAAGCTGGTCCTCCAGCCTGTCTATAACGACAAGCTGGCCCTCCAGCCTGTCTATAACGACAAGCTGGCCCTCCAGCCTGTCTATAACGACAAGCTGGCCCTCCAGCCTGTCTATAACGACAAGCTGCTCTCCAGCTTGTCTGTAACGACAAGTCGGCCCTCTGGCTTGTCTATAACGACAAGTTGGACCTCCAGCCTATCTATACCGAAAAGCTGGCCATCCAGCCTGTCTATAACGACAAAGTGGCCCTCCAGCTTGTCTATAACAACAAGCTGACCCTCTAGCTTGTCTAAAACGACAAGCTGGACCTCCAGCCTGTCTATAACGACAAGCTGGCCCTTCATCCTGTATACAATGACAAGCTGGCCCTCCTGCCTGTCTATAACGACAAGCTGGCCCTCCAGCCTGTCTATAACGACAAGCCGGCCCTCCAGCCTGTCTATAACGACAAGCTGGCCCTCCTGCCTGTCTATAACGACAAGCTGGCCCTCCTGCCTGTCTATAACGACAAGCTGGCCCTCCAGCCTGTCTATAACGACAAGCTGGCCCTCCAGCCTGTCTATAACGACAAGCTGGCCCTCCAGCCTGTCTATAACGACAAGCTGTCCCTCCAGCCTGTCTATAACGACAAGCTGGACCTCCAGCCTATCTATAACGACAAGCTGGACCTCCAGCCTATCTATAACGACAAGCTGGACCTCCAGCCTGTCTATAACGACAAGCTGGCCCTTCATCCTGTATACAATGTCAAGCTGGCCCTCCAGCTTATCTATTAAGACTAAAATGGTCTTCGGCTCCTCTATAAAGATTCCCTGACCTCCAGACTCTCTGGCAGAAGTCTATAAAGACTCCCTGACCCCCAGCTCGTTTTAAAGACACGTCTATAAAGTCTGTCACTCCTTCAGCTTGCCTATAGAGACTCCCTGAGCCTTCAGCTCGTCTTTAGAGACTCCCTGAGCCTTCTGCTCGTCTATAGAGACTCCCTGAGCCTTCAGCTCGTCTATAGAGACTCCATGAGCCTTCAGCTCGTCTATAGAGACTCCCTGAGCCTTCAGCTCGTCTATAGAGACTCCCTAAGACTTTAGCTCGTTTATAAAGACTTTTTGGCCTTCAGCTTGTCTATAAGGACTCTCTGGTCTTCAGCTTGTGTGTCGTCGGTGGAAATTCCCTGGTCCTTTACCTTGATTTCGAAAATCCTCTAGTCCATTACATCGTCCTTAAATTCCCTGATCTTCTTTACCAAACTCTGCTATAGGGTCTCTAAATATCGACTTCCATCTTTCCTGATTTTATTTATGTTTTTCTTGGCTTTAGTCTCTAAAGATGTTACTTGGTTTTATGGCATTAACTCTGATTATTGTCTGACTGACTGCATGCCTGCCTGCCTGTTTTCAGATTGCTCTTGTTGTCGGTGTTGTTGTTATTTGTTTGTGTAATTCTATATTTATTTGTTTTCTTTTACTTTGCTTCGCCATTTTCGCGTTCGTTCTTGGTGGCTTAAGGAGTTGGCGGTAAAAAGTGAACAGCAACTTGCCAAAAAAAGACCAACAAAAACAATGTTAGGTACACAAGCCAACAATAACAACAACAACAACGTTAACAACATTTTCACGCTAAAACAATATTGACAATAGATGTTTTAAAATCATGAAAATAACAATAAATATTTTATTATGGTGGGAGGGTGGGAGGTAGGCAGGAGGGAGGTGGAGAGACAGGGGGGAGGAAAGTTGGATGTAAAGTGGAATTTTCCATTTCTTGTCAGAAAATAAAACTATTTATCGCAGTACTACAAAGATATTTGGATAAAGTCATAAAGAGGATATATGAGAGGAGATAATGAACGGCTAAGTTATGAGGAGGAGGGTGGTGGGTGAATAACAACATTTTCTGGTGAAATTTTTTCACAAACAATCATATGGCCATGTATGTCTTCCCTAATAAATCTTGTTAAGAATACCATGAAAAATATTGAGTTTCTAAACTTTTACTCACAAAGGACCGGCAGATATGAATTTAGAAAATGATCATTTCATGTAAGAAAATAAAACCATTTATCGTAATACTACAAAGATATCTGGATAAAGTCATAAAGAGGATATATGAGAGGAGATAATGAACAACTAAGTTACGAGGAGGGTGGTGGGGTGAATAACAAATTTTTCTGGTGAAATTTTCCTACAAACAATCATATGGCCATGTATGCCTTCCCTAATAAATCTTGTTAAGAATACCATGAAAAATATTGAGTTTCTAAACTTTTACTCACAAAGGACCGGCAGATATGAATTTAGAAAATGATCAGAAATGGAAGCTAGGGGATCCTTTCCGTGAGTTTGAAAAACTAAACACCTCATAGAGGGTGAGATGAAAAAAACTGCAACCAAATTCAGACTGCTGTCATTTCTAAGCCACTTGTCCGACAGCTGTTAAAATTATTCCAGTTACTTGATCGAACCCCGCGTCACAGTGACCGAAGAATGGCTCGTGAGCTGAACATATGGCAATATTCCATTCGGCAAATATTGAAAAATGAGCTCGGGGTAAAGCCATTGAATTTCCAATCACTGCAAGAACTTACATCGCAACCGCAAGAAAATAGACTCAAAAGAGCTAAAGAGTTGCTTCGCTTGGCCGAAAGTGGTGAAATGCCGAATTTGGTTTTCCCCGATGAGAAAACATTCGTTGTCCAGCAGCAGCAGTAAACAAATAAAATGATCGTGTTTACTTGCCAAAGAGGTCAGCTGGCCACCACAACTCAAACGCCGGCCATGGTGATGGTATGGGCCGCCATAACAGCCGATGGTCGCTCTCCGCTCGTATTAATCGACCGTGGCATCAGAATAGATCCCAAAAAGAGGTCCGCTGAAAATGTGCACCTTTGGCTGGCCACCACAACTCACGCGCCGGTCATGGTGAGGGTGTGGGTCGCCATAACAGCCGATGGTCGCTCTCCACTTGTATTAATCGAACGTGGCATCAGAATAAATGCCAAAGAGGTCCGGGGAAAATATGCACCTTCGGTTGGCCACCAGAATTCAAGCGCCGGTCATGGTGCTGGTGTGGGCCACCATAACAGCCGATGGTCACTCTCCGCTGGTATTAATCGACCGTGGCATCAGAATAAATGCCAAAGAGGTCCGCAGAAAATTTGCACCTTCGGTTGGCCACCAGAACCCAAGCCTCAAGCCGGCCATGGTAATGGTGTGGGCCGTCATAACGGCCGATGGTCGCTCTCCGCTTGTATTAATCGCCGCGGTCGATCAGAATAAATGCCGAATATAATCGCGAAAATATTCTGGAGGGTGTATTAAAGCCTTGGCCACGCAACCATTTTGGCCGCAGACCTTGGACATTCCAACAGGACTCAGCACCATCGAACTCAGCACTCGCCACCCAAGAATGGTAACAAAATGAGGTTTCTCGCTTCATTTCCAGTGCACAATGGCCACCAAAATCTCCGGATACCAATCCTTTGGACTATTGTGTCTGGAGTATTTTGGAAAGCAAGGTTGGCACTAAAACATACCAAAGTGTCGATCACTTCAAGCAAGCGCTTCGCTGGGAATGGGCCAAAATACCGCAGAGCAACATTCGGGCAGCTTGTGACGGTTTCATTGGCCGTAAGACCATAATTCATGTCAAAGTTCGACCAATTCGAACAAATCTAAACTTATTCTACAATTTGATGCTATTTCCGACATTTTTTGCTTTCATTTAATAAAATTTAAAAAAATGTAAAAATTATGGCACTTGACTTTGTTGCAGTTTTTACCTTCGAAAAATCAATTGTGGAGGTTTATGGGGCGTATGATCAACTTTTCATGGAATATCACTTTAGTCATACGCTCCAAGACGTCTCAATAGAATTACACTCCAATATACCTCCAGACCACCATTGTTTTGCGTTCATATCTCAACATTCTGCTCCTCAATCGCAATCTCATAACCAAACCTTGTCACATTGTCGACTACAATAAATATCAAAATTTAAATCTGAAATTACCTGTTTTTTTACCTCACCCTGTAAATTGCATACCTTGAAAAATCAATTATGGGGGTCTTTGGGGCGTATGATCAACTCTTCATGGAATATCACATTACTCATACGCCCCAAGACGTCTCAATGGAATTACACTCCAATATTCCTCCAGACCACCATTGTTTTGAGTTCATATCTCAACATTCCGCTCCTCAATCGCAATCTCATAACCAAACCTTGTCACATTGTCGACTGCAATAAATATCAACATTTAATCCTGAAACTACCTGCCATAAATATGTTTTATTTCTATAATTTAACTTCACTCCATTTCTTCTAAATTTAGCCCAGCAGTCAGTCATGTGCCCACACACACACCTAGTCAATCATTAACCAACAATTTTTTCTCCATTTTTTTCGAAATTCCCGTCTGTCAAGTTTTCTTTTTCAAGACGTCACAGAAAGCGAAAAAAACCCTGCCAGACACGCACGCACTTCTTTTGCACGCCTTTTTCTGCTTGGCTTCACTTTGGCATTGTTTGTTGTGATGACTTTGATTTGAACCGCAACAACAGCAGCAACAACAACAACGGCAGTAGCAATAAAATAGCAACAAGAAGTATCACTAACAAAAATAATAACAACAATTATTACAATCATAACAATAACAACAAGGCAAATAAAATAACATGAACATAAAACGGAGAACAACCAGCAGTTAAATGAAAATGGGGCGTTTTTAAAGAGGAACAAGGCCTACAGGATGGGTATACAAGAGAGCACACACACACACATACATACATAGAAAAAAGAAATGTTTAAAGAATATTTTCCAAGGACCAACATAAGCGTGGATTTTTAAAGAATATTTTTCAAGGACCAATATAAGCGTGTATTTTTTAAAGAATATTTTTCAAGGACCAACACAAGCGGGGATCTTTTAAAAAATATTTTTTCAAGGACTATCAGACCAATAAACGTGGATTTTTTAAAAAATATTTTTTCCAGGACTATCAGACCAATAAACGTGGATTTTTTAAAAATTATTTTTCAAGGACTATCAGCCACATAAGCGTGGATTTTTAAAGAATATTTTCAAGGACTATCAGCCACATAAGCGTGGATTTTTAAAGAATATTTTTCAAGGACTATCAGCCACATAAGCGTGGATTTTTAAAGAATATTTTCAAGGACTATCAGCCACATAAGCGTGGATTTTTAAAGAATATTTTTCAAGGACTATCAGCCACATAAGCTTGGATTTTTTAAAGAATATTTTTCAAGGACTATCAGCCACATAAGCGTGGATTTTTTGAAGAATATTTTTCAAGGACTATCAGCCACATAAACGTGGATTTTTTAAAGAATATTTTTCAAGGACTATCATACCAATGAACGTGGATTTTTTAAAGATTATTTTCAAGGACTATCAGCCACATAAACGTGGATTTTTTAAAGAATAGTTTTCAAGGACTATCAGACCAATAAACGTGGATTTTTAAAGAATAGTTTTCAAGGACTATCAGACCAATAAACGTGGATTTTTAAAGAATAGTTTTCAAGGACTATCAGACCAATAAACGTGGATTCTTTAAAGAATAGTTTTCAAGGACTATCAGACCAATAAACGTGGATTTTTAAAGAATAGTTTTCAAGGACTATCAGACCAATAAACGTGGATTTTTTAAAGAATAGTTTTCAAGGACTATCAGACCAATAAACGTGGATTTTTAAAGAATATTTTCAAGGACTATCAGACCAATAAACGTGGATTTTTTAAAGAATAGTTTTCAA